ACACACACACACACACACACTTTCTTAGAAATCTTAAGTTTGAAGCGTCTGTAGCATATGACGTGTCAGCGACCCAGCGGGTGGTTGGAGGGCGACAATGCCAGGTCTTACTTTTTTTGCTTACCCTCTTTTGTTCCTGTATGTCTGTCTGTCTTCCTTTTCCCCAGCACTAAATGACCATTATTGTGTCGATGTGCCTCTCTTTACTCAAACAAAACGGCGACCCACAGGTGAACCCCAAAGAAAGTGGAGAAGTCACCCCGGGTGTGCATAGTAGGTCAAGGTCGCTCCAGATGGAGGGCCCAAGTAGACTTTTTTCTGAGATTCTAAGATACAGTGGAATCTGTCTAAGACGGCCACCTATTGTCCAGGATTAAAAGGTGGTCGTTTTAGACAGGTTGGTGTCTTAGACAGTGTCGTTGTGAACGACCAAGACAATTTTTTTTCTATTTTGTCACTTTTGACAAATTTCTCCCTGTGACAAGAATAAAGATTTTCATTGTCATTGCCATTATATTATTTTTTAATGCAAGGGAAAAATGAGAAGTAGCCGTCTCTACAGGTGGTTGTATGATAAATACAGGTGGCCATTAGAGCAGGTTCTACTGTACTTCTAACCTCTTCAAGGGATCTAGAGACGAGAGGAAATTCTCCTCCCTCACCACATAGCTGTACGGCGATGGATTGGGCATGTTCTGAGAAAAGAACCAGAGTCTATTGTAAAGACTGCCCTCCACTGGACACCCGAAGGACATCACAAGAGGGGCAGACCCAATGTGACCTGGAGACGCACTGTAGAGTCCGAAGTGAAGTCCTGGACCCATTCGTGGGGGACGTTGACCAAGATGTCCCAAAACAGACAGAGCTTTAGATCCTTTGTTGCTGCCCTAGACGCCAGATAGCGTGACGGGTGTTGATGCTGGTGATGATGAAGCGGGTGGTCCTGGTTTGAATTCCAGATTGTGCGTTATTGTATTGGGGTCGTTTTGTGAAGTTTTCGAGGCCCTCAACCCATTTCCTCCGACCTATCAGAGACGGGCATTAAATTCGGAGGCCCCGCCTCTTAAATAACCTGGTAGTGTTGATAGGGCATGGAACCCCTACACTAACTTTTTTTACAGATGATCCAAATATGGAAAACGCCAAGGCTTCTGGGAAGGACATTAAAAACCTCAATTCGGACATTGTGACAAAATAGAAAATAGTACACTGTAAAGATATCTCTCTCTCTCTCTCTCTCTCTCTCTCTCTCTCTCTCTCTCTCTCTCTCTATCTATCTATCTATCTATCTATCTATCTGTATCTCTCTCTATCTGTATCTCTCCCCTCTCTCGCTTTCTTTTTATTTCTCTCTATCCCTCTCTTTCTCTCTCCCTCCCTTTCTCTCTCCCTCTCTTTCTCTCTCTCCTCTCCCTCTCTCTTTCTATCTCTCTCTCTTTCTCCCACTCTCATTTTTTCATCACCCCCTCCCTCTCTCTCTCCTCTCTCTCCCCTTTTTATCATCACTCTCTCATCACACTCTTTCTCTCACTCACTCACTCATCCCACTCTCTCTTTATCTCATATTTATACCGGCACTTATATAATATGACCTTATTGTGTTGCAAGTGCCATAAAACTCTTACTAAAACTTACTAAAACATCATATTTATACATAAAGCTGTACAGCTTTGTACCTTTATCCAGCACTGTCCGCCCATATTTTCTACCTTCCAGAGGCTAAAATATATAACCTAATAGTGTTGCTAGGGGCCTTGAACCTATACACTTTACAAGGGAACTAAATTGACATACTCTGTTTGTCTGCAGATACAAAGCCAACAAGGGCTGGAAAAAACGTTGGGTCGTCTTCAACGGTACCTCGCTGAGCTACTATGTCAATAACACAGTAAGTACATGATTTTTTAATTGTGGATTATTATTATTATTATTGTTGTTATTATTCTTTTTGTTGTTGTTTGTGTTGTTATTATTATTATTATTGTTATTATTATCATCATCATCATTTTTATTATCGTTGGTATTCTTGTTATTATTACTAGTATATTGTTATTATATTATCATATATATTGTTATTATTTTTACTATTTTTGTTAATTATTGTTGTTGTTATTATTATTATTGTTGTTATTATTATTATTATTGTTACTATCATTATCATCCCAGCTGTTGAAAGGCCTGAGAAAAGTAATATTAAATAAATAAATCACAGTCTAGCCTTCAGCTCTTCGTACTTGGACTTTGAACTAGAAATTGGGTTATTCTCTGTGTCCTGTGTTCATGTACATTGTAAGTGAATGAAAGATTTTTTTAAATACAACTTGCTCGCTGACTAAGGGACACAAATAACCTTTTTATGCTCTACGTATTTGGTCTGACTTTGGGCCCATTTTTTTTGGTGGGTGGTTGACAGGTGCTCTGGTTTGGTTTGCTCCTTCTTTCCTCTTAAGCATCTATCGTCCTTATCTTTCCTCCTTCTTTTTTACATTTGTTGTTACTCTCTTGTAACACCTCTAATCTGCGGCACTTATATGACCTCATTGTGTTGCAAGTGCCGTAAAACTCTTTACTAAACTAATTTATTTTTTTTTTCTTCTAAGAACTTTATCGCATTCTTTTAAAATACCGAACCTTTATTGGCAGTGGATCTCCTATTAAATAATAGCATATAAAGCGGCCATTAAAAAGATCTTGACATAAAGTTTTAAGTGCAAATCTAGCCAGAATTCTACAAGGAGAGAAATGATGACATGGTTTGCTAATTGTTTAACACAAGAAGTCGTGTGTGGAATGGAGAAGGGCAATAAAGAGGGGGTTTTGTGGCCTGTGTGTGTCCAAGACAAAAAGTTTTTCAGATTTCTTGAATGTGGTGTGGATGGGTGGGGGATGCTGTTGGTAGGTCCTACTTCTTTACTTTCCCTCAGTTGTTTCTGTCTGTCTGTCTGTCTTACTTTTTCCCAGCTCCATATGACTGTAATTGTGTCGATGTGCATCTCTTTACTCAAACAAACGAATCAAACGAATTGAATGTGGTGAGCTGCGTCAAAGTGTAGCAGTGCTGAAAACGAGCCAAGTTTTATGAATGTCAGTTAGCAGCAGGAAACGTCATTCAGTTTGCCGTTTCTTTTCATAAGACACTCGGTAGCAAATTGTTCATTCCATGTTTGTGTCTTGTCTGTGTCTTCAGTCCCAGGTGTCCAAGCGTGTCATTCCCGTGTCCTGCATGACAGACGTTGAGAGCGACATCAAGGTGAGCTGCCTCGTTTGTCTGCCTGTCTGTCTGTTTGTCTGTCTGTCTGTCTGTCTGTCTGTGTCTTTGTCTGTCGGTCTGCCTGTCTAAATACTGAAAAAGTATGACCTGCAAATGGTTATTAACATTAAATGAAAGAAAAATTCCAAGAACATACCACGTCAGTCACGGCGAAGCTTATTTGAGTCACAGGCCAGAATCAGTGATTCTCAATATCTCAGGGACCAAAGAAGGTGGAAATACCCATACTCTCAAATGTGAGACTTAAAAATTTATCCTACTGAATATTATGTCTCTCAAGGACATGTCCATCTTATCCTGTGGGTTGCTGGCGGATGCTCTGGTGTAGTCTGCTCCTTCTTTTCTGTCAAATATCTGCCATCCTTATCTCTCCTCCTTCTTTTTTTCTTTGATCATTTGTTACTCTCTTGTAACATCTATAACCTTCAGCACTTATATGACTTATATATGTTGCCAGTGCCTTAAAATTCTTACTAAAACAAACGTCCTATCAAAACTAATAATGTGGGTATCGCTGTGACTGTTATTATTCTAACATGGTTCTTGATGCCTCACCCTCATCACATTTTCTCTAATCACCTCCACAGCAAAATGACAAGAACAGTTTCAAGTTCAAAGTGGTGACCACGCTCAAGAACAGAGTGTTTGTCTTTTCTGCGGAGAACTTAGGTGAGAGAGAGCAAGTTTCGGGTTCGGGGGAGTTTTTGCCGTGCTTTTGCATATTCTTCTGACGCTTGTGAACAGGAATACACATACTGCCATACATGCAGTCTTCATTACTGTCAAAATTGTCAGACGCACCCCCCCCCCCCCCAATCATCCTCACTCCCAACTTATTTAGGAGAAAAGTGGTTGTCTAAAACAGGTAGACATCTTACATAGTGTCATTATATTCTTTTTTTTTTTAAAGAAAGAGGGGGGGGGGACATGGTTGTTTGTACAGGGCCTGTGATTGTCTTATACAGGTGGCTGTTAAAGTTAGTTGGACTGTGCTCACAAGCCCTGTGCTTATACAGATTTATACCAACATTGCACACAGACACACCATACATATGTGCACACACACACACACACACACACACACACACACACTCACAGAGAGACTCATACACACCCCCTTATACACACACACACACACACACACACACACACACACACACACACACACACACAACATACACTCACAAAACGCTCTCTTTCACGCTTCCATGCACACTCACAAACACACACGTATGTACTACGTCAGTAAAGGGCACTAATTTTTTGCATTTATCGTGTTTTGCACATGTTTATTAATTAAAGATAAAAGAAAAAACTATTCATTAATTGTATTTAAAGAGATCTTTTTCTTCTTCTTTTCAGTCTTAAATAGTACAAATGTATGTTTTCCTGGTGATGTGTCGCTGTTGTTTTCATTCACCATTGACTGAGCATCAAAAACAAATCTTTCAACAAACGATTTCCAGAAATAATTGCCCTAGCAGAAAGAAATAGAGAGAGATATTTGTCTTAGGCATATCAGCAAAATTCAATTTCAACACAAACATAGCTGATCTTCAATTGTTTTTATTGGTGTCTGTGGTGTAGCAGTTAGGAACTTCACAGTCACAGACAGAAATTCTGAGTTTGATTCCCATAAGGGGAGAATTTCTATCAAGTATCTCTGACTTTCTGCTGGGATGCTGTATCCCTCTCAGACCAGGCTGGCCCCGACGGGCAGGATCAAAGCCCGCCTCTTAAATGATCTAAATTGTGTTGATTGAGATGTAAAACATCTACTTCAGGAGTTAAAAAAGGGGGTTTCTATCAAGATGTTCCTTATATTTCCAGAGGACTGTTTGACATGGGCCAGTGTCTTGATGGCTGCCATCACTGAGCACAAGGTAATGTGTCTGTCCGTCTGTCCAACCATCTTGAGCTCAAGGTAATGTGTCTGTCCGTCTGTCCACCCATCTTGAGCTCAAGGTAATGTGTCTGTCTGTCCACCCATCTTGAGCTCGAGGTAATGTGTCTGTCCGTCTGTCCAACCATCTTGAGCTCAAGGTAATGTGTCTGTCCACCCATCTTGAGCTCGAGGTAATGTGTCTGTCCGTCTGTCCAACCATCTTGAGCTCAAGGTGATGTGTCTGTCCACGCATCTTGAGCTCAAAGTAATGTGTCTGTCCAACCATTTTGAGCTCAAGGTAATGTGTCTGTCCAACCATCTTGAGCTCAAGGTAATGTGTGTGTCCGTCTGTACACCTATCTTGAGTTCAAGGTAACGTGTCTGTCCGTCTGTCCAACCATCTTGAGCACAAGGTAATGTGTCTGTCCAACCATCTTGAGCTCAAGGTGATGTGTCTGTCCACCCATCTTGAGCTCAAAGTCATGTGTCTGTCCAACCATCTTGAGCACAAGGTAATGTGTCTGTCCGTCTGTCCACCCATCTTGAGCTCAAGGTAATGTGTCTGTCCAACCATCTTGTGCTCGAGGTAATGTGTCTATCTGTTTGTCCACCCATCTTAAGCTCAAAGTAATATGTCTGTCCAACCATCTTGAAATGAGAATCTGTCGGAATTGCTGTTACAATTGTCACAGATGGCCAGCCACTGTGAAGGAGAAAAGTGGCCGTCTCAGACAGATGGATGTCTTACTTCTTCTTCTTCTATCCCGTGGTTGGGGCAACCGTTGGGGCACCACTGCATTTGAAAACCAGCTCTCGCCATCTATTTTTGTCCTCTGCTCTCCTCAGATTGTCACCCATCATCTTTCCTGTCCACTCTGTAATGTTGTCCTCCCATCTCCTTCTCTGCCTTCCTCTCTTTCTCTTTCCTTGTACGGTTCCTTGCAGGATTGTTTTGGCAAGTCCTGTGGATCTTGTGACATGTCCATACCATTTTAGTTTTCGTCTCTTCACTGTGGTCAGTAGATCTTCATATTGCCCACTGCGTTGGTGATTCTCTTTCGTACTTCAGCATTTGAAACGTGGTCTTTGTATGAGATGTCAAGGAGTCTGCGGTAACATCTCATCTCTGTGGTCTTAATCTTTTTCTCTAATTCTGCTGTTAGTGTCCACGACTCGCAAGCGTATAAAAATATTGAGGTGACCAGTGAGCGCATTAGTCTAATTTTGGAGCTGTGCGTGATGTTTCTGTCCCTCCAGGTTCCATAGTATTTCAATCACTGCATGTATTGTGAGGTTGTAAGAATTGTTCAGACTGTGCTACTTGAGTCCATCAGATATACTCTGCTACACCCCAGCTCTCTCTATGCCTTTTGCTTTTATCAGTTTGGGGAATTTTTTTTTTTCTTTTTTAAAGAGGGTGGGAAAATTTCAGCCTTAAAAATCTTTTAAGAATATATGTATTATAATATATATAGTAACACCTCTAACCTTTGGAGCTTATATGACCTATTTGTGTGGTAAGTGCTATAAAACTCTAACTAAACCTAAACTTTCTGTGTTGCAGAGGTCTGAGATTAACGAGGGAACACAAGTGGAGCGACCAGACAGAGAGGTCAGTGTACAGAACTGGACTGTCGCCCCTGGGGGTGAAAACTTTCATAATTTTATACGCTCATATGACCTTGTGCAGTTACGAGAGCTGTAAAAATTTTTACTTTTCTTTACTCTTGGTGTACAAAATAACATTTGGATTGTGTCAAGGAATGCTTTTAGCTTTTGCAAAAGGTTTTACTAGTTGAAAAACATTTTTGTACTTATTTATATTTGGCAGCGTTTTTAAGACCTTCTTGAGCTCACATTTGTATGAGATGCAATGGTTGAAAATTGTGGGAGTTAGTATCGGTTGAGAATTTTGCCTGTGAGAGTGCTTGGTAACTCATAATATCAAGCCTTCACTAATAAATGAGAGGGGGGGGGGGTGTAGACTGATTTTAGAAGCTAATTTTTTTTGTTTTTGGAAAACATTATTGTCCAAGCTTTATACATTCATCCTTTGCTCTTCTAAAAACAACTTCACATTTCAAAGAATTATCTATATTTGTACTAAGGACATGTTTCCTCCTGAATTTTTGTGGTACATCTTATCGGTACTAATAAAAGTTATTTATAGAAGCCCTCCAGGCAGATTTCTCTCAGTTATACTAGTGTGTGGCGTAGGTAGTCTGTCTAGTGGTTAGGCTACCGGACTCGTAATCTTGAGGTTCGGGGATTCGAGCCGCAAACCTGACGTTGTGTCCTTGGGAAAGGCATTTTACACTAATTTTCTTCACTTCACCCAGGTGGGAATTCCCTGCTATAGACAGTGAAAGATCTTGTCAGTGTGTTAGTGTTTCAGCGCCTATAAATGGCGGCTTGCATTGTAGGCTTCCTAGGAAGTTGAGATGGTGTCAGAGTGCCATCAGGTCTGCTGGGGTAATAGTATATATTATATTGTAAAGCGCATAGAGCTTGCTGTTGAGCGGAAATTTGGGCTATACAAATTCTATTTATTATTATACTTGTTATGATAAGTAAATCTCATTCTCTATCTTATGTATTGCTTTCTTGTATGTGTAAACTCTACTGTGATCAGTTTCTCTGGTCTGTCCACAGGGTTTCATTAAGTTTGGCACTGGAGTGAAGCACTACGTTGCTATCTGGGGTGCCATGCTCAAGTATTTCCACTCTTTTGAGGTACGTGTTGCCAATGTAGAGTACACATTTAAGTCTGAAGATCATTAAAATATTATTTTGGAAAATTTTGGTTTTTACACTTTGCGATTTCACAGCTTCGCTTTTTTATGATAGCTCAGTGTCAGTGTCACTGATAACACAGATTGTACAGCGCATAGAGCTCTCTGTTGAGTGCGGATGCGCACTATTCATATGTGAGGCAGCGTGGTGAAATCAGGCGCTCGTCAATTTTTGGGCATGTGGAGTTTTTGGTACAATTTTAAAACTTGTTCATTTGCCTTCGTTTGGGTGAAAAAATATCCATCCATGTTGAATAGAAGTCGAAATATTTTAGATTGAAGGAAGTAGGGTTGCATGGTTTCAGTGGTAAAATTAGCGAGAAAATAACCGCTAAATTTTGGTAACTTTAATAGCTTGTGAGTCCCTGAAAACTGAAAAATTACACATTTTCTGCCCTTTAATTAACGTTTTTCAGACAAATTCACAAAGAAATGTGTTTTGGTATGGACATAAAAGTGTAGCGAAAAAACAAAAAATTGATAAAAATTGCCAAACCATCGGAAAATGCTGGAATCTTCGATTTTGTTAATTTGACGAGCGCATGATTCCCCACGATGCCTTACATATGCTATTTATTATTTATTATTGTCATTTTTTCTCTTGCTCTGATCGCCAGGATTTCCAAATGAACTCTCCAGTCCATGAAATTGACATGAAGGTTGCATCTGTCAAGGTGCACGACAGGAAAAAATTCAAACTTCAACTTCGGACACACTACAAGTTCTTTGAGTAAGTTTAAACAAGATCATAATTATCAATTTGACCATTAATAAAGTTCGTTTGGGTTTTTGTTGTTTGAAAACCAGTTTGACAAGGAATATTCATTGGGGGTGGGGGGGGGGGGGTGTCATTCAAAAATCAGTTTGACAATGAATACTTATTGTTCTTTCATGAGAATTGGAGCAGTATTCCAGACTGACACCGGTCAAGTTCAGATTATTGACATAGTCCTATACTTTTGAGATCGGCTGACTATGTAACTTTTGCTCAGGGTTCTTAACTGCCCAATGTGGGCAATTTTGTATACTTGAATTTAACCCTATCCGTATGCCTGAAGTCATTTTGTACCCCAGAGGTTGTATTCTTCACATTTTAGAATACTTCTAGTGCAAAGATCTCTTTGAAACTTTCAGTATTTCTCAAAAAATTGTTTTGACAGAATGCCTTGCAAAGCGTACTGATCAAATTAAAGTAAATTTCCGCTTTGGAAAGTGGGGGCACAGAGTTCCCCACGTCGTATGGATACGACAGTAAAACACGACGTACGGATAGGGTTAAGATTGCAGCATTTTCATGACTGCCAAATAGCAGATTGCAATGAGGCTTGGTAATTCAACCATGCTGGAGCAGTACAAAGAGATAATATTGCAGATACTGTAAATGTTATACGAATATGACCGTATGGGGCAGTTGTTTTAATCTATTAATATCTCTCTATCTATTGGGAAGTTGTAGCCCTCTTAGCGTCGCCCACATCTACAAAAGAAAAAACACATAATCTGTTTGAGTGAGTTCTATAAAGAACATTTGACAGACTTCCTTGCAAAGCGTACGGATCAGATTAATGTAAATTTCCACTTTGGAAAGTGGGGGGCACAGGGGCTATAAAGAACATTTATTAGAAGTGATAAGACGTACCACAAAAATCATGATTTTTTTTTCCACACCTTAACAAGAGTGATTATGTCAATTGCATTGATGGGCTTCTTTCTTCTTTTTTTTTTTCATCCTCTGTTGCCTTTAAGCATCGAGGGGAGAAGCAGTTTTCTATGGTAGGCCAGCTCCGTAGCTCTTTCAGTTGTGATGTTATGTTTTCTTAAGGTTTCCTTGACACCCTCAATCCATCTTTTGAGTGGCCTTCCTCTTCCTTCATAGGCTGAGTGCTTGGTGTTGTAGACTCTTGAGGCTGGTTGGCCTGGTGACAGAATTGATGGGCGCGTAATTAAAACACCTACATTTATAAGAGGAAAAAAAAGGGGGGGTGTAAAACATTAAACTATCTACAATCAGGATTTTTCACTTCCCAGCTTAACGTTTGCGAGTGATCGTGATAATTGTGTTGATTGAGGCGTTAAAACGCCTACATTTAAGAGAGCTCGTGGGTCGGGTCTAGGGCCTCGGAGACTGATTTTCACTCACTCAGAGCACTTTTTACTTTTGGTATTTTCCGATCCCTCATTCAGTCTATATTTTATTGACACTACTCACTGAGTGATTAACATTAACAGAATTCAGCTTTATTGGGTTCTACGTTCTGCACTAACGTTTTCAATGTTAAACCTTGTTTTTGTCAAAACACACTTTTTCACCACTTTTTGCTTGCTTATGACGTTTCTTTTCTCCACCATTTTTTATTTTATTTTCCTACACAGAGACTTGATATTTGGCATGTAGTTAGAGAAATGGTTTGCACCTGTAGTGGGCTGGTTAGTTTTTTACATTTTGCTTTAGAATTATTTTTACAATTTTTTGTTGTCATGACAAAAATATTTTTTCCAGATCAAAATCCATATCCCCACAACTTTGAGAACAATTTTGGATACTTTCTAAGTATAGTATCAAAAATCAAAATATCCAGCTGCAGGCACCTATTTATTTGAGATATTTTGCAAGTTGCCGAATTTTAAAAAGTTAAATGCTATAGAAATGGTGGAGAAAATAAAATGTTCTATCCAATTTTCAAGATAACCGCCGTTTCCATGGCAACTGCTTACATAATCGAGTGTGTTAACAGTTGAACATGAATCTTTTGTCTCATACTTACTTTCTGTGACAAAAGTTGTTTCTGTTTGTCTTTAGTTGAAAATGTTGTCCGGTAAGTATCGAGCTTGCTTTAAGAGAGAGTGAAAAGAAAGGGGCGGGTGCTACTAACTGAAGTGTCTTTAGGCCATTCCCAAAGGGGGGGACATTAACATTTCGAGTTCTTATGCACAGTAGAATTGTAATTGTAAATGGGCTGATTCATCAATGTCATGCTCATAACTGTGCATGAACTGCATCAGGGAACTGCTGCTATTTCTTTCCTAATCCTTACTATCGTCATTTTCCTCTACTTCTTTTGTATGTTTGTCACACTCTTGTGATCCGCTATTTCCGGGGTTCCTTGATAGTCGAAGCAGACTTTGTGCTGTTGAAGCTAGAAAGGTGAGCAGAGGAAGTCTGATTCCCTGTAAGGACTTCTCTGTTGACATCCACCCCTTGGCACTCATATGACCGCATGCAGTTGCGAGTGCCGTAAAACCTCTACTAAAACAAAACAAAGAGAGTGAAAAGAAAGGGGGCAGTAAACATCTACAATTGAATTTTTTGTCTCGTACATACTGCCTGTGACAAAAGTTGTTTCAGTTTGTCTTTAATTAAAAATGTTGTCCCGTAAGTATCGAGCTCCTTTAAGAGAGAGTGAAAAGAAACATCTACAAATACTACAATTACAATATTTCACTTCCCAGCTTAACGTTTGAGAGCGACCGAGAGATGCAGCAGTGGCGTATGGCCATGGAGGACGCCATCGCCGAGGGGCTCGGGGACAACACGGTGGTGGAGAAAGTCTACCACAACCTCTCCAACAAACAGTGTGCTGACTGCAACGCTGACAGTGAGTCATGGCTCCTAGAACATTACGTAACCCTTTTCTGTTCAGATGATGCAAAGATACAGGGCTACAGCTGCTTTGTTTGGGTTTTTTTGTTGTTGTTGTTTATGTGGGTGGGGGGGTTGTTTTGTTGTTGGGTTCTGGGGGGGGGGGGGGGGTTCGGGGCGAGGGGGGGGGGGATGTTCTTGTCGTCCACTGTCTATTTTTCGCATACCTTGTTACTGATCTTATTCTTAACAGATGGTCATTGACTATGAGATTGTAAGTAAATCATACAATGGTATTTCAACACTAAGCTTGAACAATTAATAAGAGAATATGAATAACAACAATGATTAGATCTATTTGTTTGTATTTGATTATTTAATTCATTGGCGGGGGTGGGGGGGGGTTTGGGTGGGTGGTTTTGGGTTTGCTTTTGTTTTGTTTGTTTGTTTGTTTGTTTGTTTTGGAGGGTGGTGGTGGGGGTTTCTAGGTTTTGTCGCCTTTTCTAGCCCCCCCCCCCTTCCCAGGTAAAGCCCTAGAGCTCAATTCCACTCCCCACAACCAGCCTAGCTCACAGCTTGATTGTCCCACAAGATCTCCTCGGTGGCAGGCTTAGCTGTGATGAAAACTGATCCCTGACACTCAGCAGCTGTTTGGATTCCTGAGAGTGTGTCCAATCCATCGCCGCTGCCTGTAAAACATCACTTTGGCTTGATCCTTTAACCTCACTATTGTGCAACATCGTTCTTTTTGTGACATGTTTCTTTGTCATGGCAATCACTGGCTGACCTCTCGTGACCTTGACCCACAGATCCGGATTGGGCCTCCATCAACCTGGGCATCGTGCTGTGCAAGAACTGTGCAGGCATCCACCGGATGTTTGATTACCGCGTCTCCAAGATTCGGTCACTACGGATGGACACTCGGGTCTGGACGCCTAGTCTCACTGAGGTCGGTAGTCACTGGTTGTTGCTGCTGCCGTTTAGTTGTTTGGTTTTGTTTTTGTTTGTTTTGGGGTTTGTTTGTTTTTTTTGGGGGGGTTGTAGTTGTTAATTGTGGTGGTAGTGGTTTTGTCGTTAATGTTTTTGTCACTTTTGTTTTGTTTTTTGTTTTTTTGTTGATGTTGCTATTGTTGTTGATGGTGATGGTGGTGGTTTTGATATTGTTTGGTTTTTTTTTATAAGATGTGAAAAAGAACTGGTGAAAGGAAAACTCAGTGTGAATGCGAGGGAAAGTAATAATGAGGAGCAGATTGAGATATGTCGTGCTCGCACGCACACATTCACACATGTATGCATGTGCATATGCATCACCCACATATACATGCTTGCACACACACACACACACACACACACACACATGCGCATATGCATGCGTTACACACACATGCATGCACACACTGAGAGGCACGCATTCACTTACATGTGCATGCATATTGATATATTGGAGTGGTGTACCTCTATCCAAGAAGAAATTGATCTCCATGAAATGAGTTTGTCAACAAAGATAAAACATGTTATAAGTAGAATCACAACCCACTTAGTTTGCTTATAACTTACATATGTATACCACTTATGGAAGAAATAAAAAATGGCAAATCTCACTCCCTGGATATTCATGTGTGTTTGTTTATAAAAGACTAAAAGACATTTTTCAAAGAGTAATTTTTATAATCCTTTCCTCTCCCTCCCGCCCCCCAACCCCACCCCCACCCCCACCCCCACTCCTCAATCAGCTCCTGATCATTGTTGGAAACGCCAACTCGAACACGTTCTGGGAGCACCGTCTTCCTCCTAACTTGAAGCTCAAGCCGACAGACACCATGGACAAACGGAAAGAAATCATCACAGCGAAGTACCTCAAGAAGAAGTTCTGTGACCTACACCCTATTGCCAGTATGGGAGCCACGGCTCTGGGAGAGGTGAGTCATGAGGAGTTTATTAATTAATCTATTAATTTATTAATTAACTCTTTTTATCCTAGCCGTACCCCCACGGACTCTGTACCCGTCCTGGGGCCGCCGCGCCGTATGAGTCGGAAGTCAGTGCGTATAGTTCAATATTTCTTACTTTTACTCTAAGGTTTAAAAGGAAATTTGGCAGTTATGTTAGAAATTGAATGTAGTTTTTGTAAATGTATGTGGTTAGGAAATACACCAATAGCACAATGTAGATTTTGAGGTGTATTCCACCCTCGAACTTGACCCTGATTGCCGCGCCCACGACGTCCCACTGGATTTTATAGATCTAGATCTAGCCCTACCCATCGAACACGAATTCCAGTACTGACCCCTTCACCATGATCTGAATCGCTATTAGATGAGTCTAAGTCATGTTTCTTATCATCCACAACGGAATTTACGGCACTTATTTCAGAGTCACTATCATCAAATTAGTGTCATTCCCCCTCACAACCCAGCGCAACTTCAAAAAGTACTTCGTCGGTCGTGAATGTGCGTTTTCGAGACATCTTTCAAGCTTCTACACCCATCAAAAACAAAGAAACCACTGTTCGTTGAAAAATTAAAATATTCAGACAGAGCTAGCATCGCCGTATTTGCGTATTTTGGTAATTACAAGCAGAACTAGCTTCTTTGACGTGACCGTATCGCTGTTCCGAGAATACTCGTAGCCCGGACTGGTCCTCGTTACGAGTATACTCGTAGCCCGGATAAAAAGAGTTAATTGGATAATATACTTAGTCAATTAATTAATCCTTCCCAAAGAAATGCATACCATTACATCAGAGAGAGAGAGAGAGAGAGTGGTGAGTCATGATGAATTAATTAATCTATTAATTTATTAATTAATTGGATAATATAATTAATCAATTAATTAATCCTTCCCAAAGAAATGCATATCATTACTCCAGAGCACCAGAGAGAGAGAGTTTAAGAAAAGCGTAAAGATACCTTTGTTCAACACTATCCTCTGCCATTACATTTTGTGTGTTAGAATATGTGTGGTCTGGGAGTTGTGTGTGTGTGTGTGTGTGTGTGTGTGTGTGTGTGTGTGTGTGTGTGTGTGTGTGTTAACTGGTCTCACGTTGTGTATTTTCTGTCCTTTGATTCGTTAGTTAAGTTGAGCGATGATTCCGCATTGTACAGCACTTATAGCCTTCTCGGGATTAGGCGCTACATAAATTCCCTTTACTTTTATTACTATTATTATTACTATTGTATCCAAATAATGGAGAACATTTTAACGAGGTAGCTCTGTGTATATGAAAAGATGAGATTAGCGGTACACTGACCACCCTTTATTCTTATTATTATTACTGTTGTATCCAAATAATGGAGAACATTTTAACGAGGGAGCTCTGTGTATATGGAAAGATGAGATTAGCGGTACCCTGACCACCCTTTATTCTTCTTATTATTACTGTTGTATCCAAATAATGGAGAACATTTTAACGAGGGAGCTCTGTGTATATGAAAAGATGAGATTAGCTGTACACTGACCACTATCCACTGTGTTGTGTCATCTCAGGAGTTGCTCAACACTGCGACCAGGGACAACGTTCTGGAGACTCTGAAGGTCCTTTTCTCTGGGGCTGACGTGAGTGGAGATGTCTCCGTTGTGTTGATAGATAATGATAAACGACATAAAGATAGAGAGAAAGTGAGGAGGAGAGAGAGAGAGAGACAGAGTGAGAGAGAGAGAGAGAAAGAGGATCACTATAGGAGCTGTGCGCTGCATATGTTCTTTGTATTATTGTACAGTACATTGAGCACTTCTTTGTGGAAATGCACTATATAAATGCAATATATTACTATTTATTATTATTATAAACATTATGTGTGTAGAGTTTAGATTTATAGCAGCATTGCTCTCCTGAAAGTTGTCACCTTAAATACAGCAGACACAGCCATAGAATCATCCAGTATGCACACTTGTAACAAGATATTTTCTGACAATCAATCATTGCCCTTTGATAGAATCACAGAGTAAACATTTTGCAACCTGTGAAATTATAACTTTGCTTACGTTACGTTCGTAGAGGCCTGTGGTCCTGCCTAGTACATAGGTCACCAACAAAAGTTCTCCGCGCATCTAAATCCAGGGCCAGTTTCTCCAGCTGTAACTCTCCTGCTTAAAATCCATCCTCTCTCAGGTCCAAAATATCGTTTGTTGTTCTTGTTGGTATTTCTGTGGCTTGGGTTGTGTTTGTGGGGTTTTTTTTAAAGGAGTGTTAGATAACTGAAACAGGACTATAGCGAAAGGCCTTAAAACTAGTAGACAAGAAATGAAGTGACGAAAATCCATCCTCTCCCAGGTCTTAAATGTTGTTTGATACTCTCATGAGCGTTTCTGTAGCTTGGGTGGTTTGATTTTTTATTGAGAGGGGGTAGATAACTGAAACAGACTATAGCGAAAGACTTTAAAACTAGTGGACAAGAAATGGAGTGATGACCCCGCCTTAACTGTAGACAACTCTTCCTGGTCGTCTCTGATTGCCTTGTGTGTCTCAAGACGTGGGAGTCTGTAAGCCTTTTTAAAACTTTGCCATCACAAGGCTCATATAGTAAAAACCCTTGCCATCAAAGGCAAAGACATTTGGGGGAAAATCCAAAGAAACTGGGTGGTAAACATCGCCAATCGGCGAGATGTGACGGCAAAGTGTTAAAATAATTTAAGTTTCCATCCACTAGATATAATTGAGGCTGAAGCCTCATCAGCTTCATGTAGCATCCATCCTGCTTACAACTCGCCACAGGGCAAGGATACTACACTTTGATCCTAGCGAAAAGGCCGAGAAGGGAGTCTCTAAGCCTAAGTAATTCTAAGTCTAAGGTAGCGAACCCTTTGCCCAGCCGTCTTTCTTTCTCAGCCAGGTTTGGGACCGCCCTTGGCAAAGTTGATGTACAACTTTGGTGACTTTCTTTTATATCAAGGAAACTAAGCGTTATCTGTCGTCATCTTGTGTCAACCCCCCGGGGCAGTGCCACTGACTGTAGTGTCTTTAGGCCATTCCCAAAGGGGGGACATTTCTCGTTCAAGCATAGTAGAATTGTGAATGGGCTGACTCATGTCACGCTCATAACTGTGCCTGATCTAAAACAGGGAACTGCTGCTTTTTCTTTCCTGATCCTTACTATTGTCATTTTCCTCTACTTCTTTTGTATGTTTGTCACTCTCTTGTGACCTGCTATTTTGGGGTGCCTTGATGGTCGAAGCAGACCTTGTGCTGTTGAAGCCAGATAGGTGAGCAGTCTAAGTCTGATTCCCTGTAAAGACTTCTCTGTTGACACCCACCCCTTGGCGCTCATATGACCTTTTGCAGTTGCGAGCGCCGTAAAACCCTCTACTATAAAAAATATCTCGTGTCACTGTCTGCTCCACAGGTTGTCTCACGCAGAGACGGGCACGGGGAAACAGGTACGTCTGTGGTTTGTTTCCTTCTGTAGCCAGTTTGTCTTTTTATTTATTGAAGTGGTCAGTTTTGTTTTTTATTAAGAGTTTTATGGACCTTGCTGCATAAATAGTAATTAATTTAAATAATTATCTATGTGCCGAAGATTGAAGGTGTTTTTACTAGCGAGTAAAATGCAAAGGAAAGAAAGAGGAGAGATAAGGACAATAGATGTTCAATAGGAAAGAAGGAGGAGAGATAAGGACAATAGATGTTCGATAAGAAAGAAGGAACAACCCACACCAGAGCACCCGCCAACCACCCACTTGGAGTTATTAGGGAAGGGGAGCTATCAATATATGATAGTTTTGACATAGATATGCTGTTTGCATAGAGGGTACCATACTGTGGGGGGGGGGGGGGGGGGGGGGGGTCTTTGACTGGTACACTTACACTAGCATGTTTCTTTTTCACCTATCAATTTTACTTTTTGGTTCAACACCTTTTTTGTCAGTTTAAAGACATATTTCTGGAAGCTCTTTTAATATTTTTTATATACATATTTTTTTGGGTTTTTTTGTTTCAGCGTATGACCTTGCCAAGGAAAATGGACACCGGCTCGTCATGGTAACATAATAACTGTAGATAACGTATATCTTTTGTCTGTGTCACTTTGGCTGTGGTACTTGACTGTACGGATGTAACCGCCCTTTAACCACTGCTAAGTTTGTGAAAGGCCTTGAATACTTCAAAGACAAATTAAAGTCAAGACTGCACAAATATGATTTGACCACCCCCCCTGTCCAGCATATCAGTTGAGCTAGTAAAGTACATCTGCTTTTGGCTTTTACACGTACCCCAAGACAACTAAGATTACCTCTTGGTTTTTATTTCATTTCTGTGGACAGAGTAAAAATTTACTGAACGTCCCTCTTACGTGCTACATAAAATATATAAAAAGACCCATGCTTCTGATCTGTAACAAAGAAAGATACAGAAGGTCATTTTTACCATCATCTATGAAAATGCTTCCGTCTTAACCATCTTGTTTAGTGTACTTACGACCTTAGAGCATGCATCAAAATAACATTGAGTGTGTATCTAGCTTACGATTATTATTGTTTATATTGGTGCTCATTTATATTATGCATGTGATTGTAAGCCTACTTGTGTGTGCATGTGTGTGCACGTGTGTACATGTGTGTGTTTGTGTGTGTGTGTGTGTGTGTGTGTGTGTGTGTACTCGTGGTGGAACACCAAACCAATGTGCCAGGATCTGGACAATAAAGATGTATCTTATCTTATCTTTTCTTATCTTATATTTTGACTGTGATACATGAGGATTTGACCAACCCTTGACTCATTTCTCCTTTGTTTCCCACCTTACAGGAGCTCCTCTATCAAAACGGTGGAGATCGTAAGTATCTGGGACACACCCACCTGTGTCCGGTTTTGTCCTTTAGATAGTCAGTTCGTGTGTTCAGCTTTTCTGGATAGATAACAACAACAGAAACATGTTCATCTTTTCTGGATAGATAACAACAACAGAAACATGTTAATCTTTTCTGGATAGATAACGACAATAACAGAAACATGTTCATTTTTTCTGGATAGATAACAACAATAACAGAGACATGTTCAGCTCTTCTCATGACATGTCATTAGATGGAGAAAAGTCTCACAGGTTTCATTTTGATATTTGTACCCGCACACTCAAGTACCTGTGAGAAATTGTATTTCAAAAGTACTTTTTCTACTCTGGTTAGAAAAAGAGCTTAATTTTAGTTGTAAGGGTTTAATGGCTATTCCGTTTTGAGTGGTTGATGAATGTGGGTACTGAAAAGAGAATATATATGAGGTAATATGGGTGCAGTGGCGTGTAGATTGGTAATGACTGAGGTGAATCTGTGTGTGTATTTGAGCTTGCTGTAAAAACCATAGGGCCCCAGCATAATAGTTGCCTTACAGGGGTTGTCATCATTTATTATGCTCTATGTGTGTATGTGTGTGTGTGTGTGTGTGCGTGCGCATGTGTTTTCTATCATACCATTTTTAGGCAACTTTGGCTACAAGGATCAGTAAATTTGTTGTTTTTGTCTGTTCTCTTTTTCTTTTCTTTTTTCTTGAATATTCCAATGTTTTTGAAAAATCAATGACTCATGAACTGCTTTACAGTATGCCTATATGAAAGAGAAGATTGAAGGAATGCAATCTGTATGCACTGTATGCTTCCCAGGAAGTTGAGATTGTTTCTGAATGGTATCAGGTCTGCTGGGGTAACAATGTATAGATTGTAAAGCGCATAGAGCTTGTTATGCTGTTGAGAAGGAATTTGCTCGATTCAAATGCTATTTATTATCAATTTGAAATTCCATTGTCTATTCTCAATGTCTTGCAGCCCAGTCTCAAAGCGGCACATCAGATGATGAGGTGAGTGCCTTTTGATTTACAAGAACCTGTCTCGAAGTAGAAACTTCCAGAACATTGGTCCACCCTCTATCAGCTTGTGCATCGTGTGACTCTCTTTTCATGCACCTTGAAGCTCATTATAATATTGATGACCTGAAACGCAAAAACAGCATATTCTATCTCGCGCAGTATTGCAAACAGACGTAAGAAATTTTGGCGGCCTTTGAGATACGTCTGTATGCAATACTGCCTGTGCTATGTGTTTGGATTTTTTTGTTCCTGGCTTTAATATGACTGCTGGCTTCTTTGTCAGATTTTCATCTTGGCTTTTGAAAAGAAAGTAAAACAACGGGTCTTGGTGCATGGATGAAATTGTCTTCAGTTTGAAATATGCAGCCAAAGCTTGTTATGTAAAGATTAAGAGACATCTGATAATCTGTGTTTGAATTATAGCGTCTTAGCCAGGCACACTTCCTATCTTTGAACAATAGTTTCTTAGCTAGGCATCTGTACAGTCTTTGAACAACAATTTCTTAACTAGTCACCCTACGTACTGTCTTTGAACAACAATTTATTAGCTTGTCACCCTTACTTACTGTCTTTGAACAACAATTTATTAGCTAGTCACCCTTACTTACTGTCTTTGAACAACAATTTATTAGCTTGTCACCCTTACTTACTGTCTTTGAACAACAATTTATTAGCTAGTCACCCTTACTTACTGTCTTTGAACAACAATTTATTAGCTTGTCACCCTTACTTACTGTCTTTGAACAACAATTTCTTAACTAGTCACCTTACGTACTGTCTTTGAATAACAATTTCTTAACAAGGCATCCTTGACTTTGCTCCCTCACTGCTTTATACTCCCACTTAACAATGCAAAATAGCCTGCAACCTGAGAGGGAAGAGGTTTGGAGACTTTCAAGCTTAGCATGGAGTTATTTCGCAGCCTTTTATCTACTTCATACTTTGTGCACCCCGAGTTAAAAATTCTGTGAGGGTGGTTGGCGGGTGCTCCGGTGTGGTTTGCTCCTTCTTTCCTATTAAATATCTATTGTCTTTTTCTCTCCTTCTTTTTTTTTGTGTTTGTTACTCTCTTGTAACGCCTCTAATCTTCAGCACTTTTATGACTTTATAGTAATGCAAGTGACATTAAATTCTTACCAAAGTAAAATTAAACTGAGAATTCTCCCTTTCAGTAGTGCTATAATTAGACTAGAATTTTTTTATTTTTAGTCTCTGATGTAACTCATTCCCTGCTGAGATCTGCAAAATGTGGCTTGCACGTACCATTATGGCCATAAGCCACATTTCGTAGCTTGAAAACTTCTTGACCTCTTTTATCCCAGAGTGTTCAGACCCACTCCAACCACCATTTCATGCTCAGAAATTATTTTTTAAAATTTGAACTTTCCGATAGGGTATATATATATATATATATATATATATATATATATATATATATATATATATATAACATGTGTGATCATCTCTGCAAAAGTAAGAAAAAAATTTAATTTGTTCTGATTACAGACAGAAAGGATAAATAATATGGTTTAGCCGCAGTGAGGGAAATGTTTTTGTAGGGATATAATCTAATAAATATGAACAAATTTTTTAAAAATACGACTTTTTTTATTTCTGTTGTTTTCCTTCTCCATCGTCGTATAGACAGACTACAGCTTTGTTTGGGTAAACCTTCTTGTTCTTTTTTCACTGTGTAGTTTCTCTTTTGTATCACAAATCTTTGTTGTAACTCTGTGCTAATACTGCTGTTTCTGTTGGTGAGGAGGTTATTATTGTTGGCTATTTATATTGCATGTGCCTGTGTCGGGTAATCTCTTCACATGTATTATTCAGAATCTGATCAGATTTTTTTCTTTGAAGTCATTGGCTGTGGGCTTTTCTGAATGAGAGCATTATTCTTCTTTGTATATTTCATTTCTTCTAAAACAAGAACAAAACATTGTTTCTTAGATGAGCATTTCACGCCATTTGCGTACATAAAAGACATGAAACTTAGTATCTTTTTTCAGCTCAAAAAACATCTTTAGTTACACCCTTGTTGGAAGAAAAAAATTCAGGGATCAGATGTTTAACCTTATCCGTAAGTCCTGGAGTCATTTTGTATCATTTCTTCTTTGGAAAGTGGTGGCACAGAGTTCCCCACGTCGTATGGATACGATAGTAAAACACAACACACGGAAAGGGTTAAGGCGCAAATTAATAAAAAGTCATTTCAAGTGTAACTTTTTTCAAATTTTAAGTATTAGACTTGCGAAAAGGACCAAGAATACTTGAAAATGTACCGAGTGGTCAGTAAGAAGGCCCTTACAAAAGTTTCTCACAAAAGTGTAATGATGTGATCTGTTGTCTTACTTGGATTTACTTGGATCCAGAGCTAGAATCATAGCAGGCGGCACATGTCCATAGCTGCTCATCTCTCCTTTCCAGCGTCCACCTCAGGGTGTTGTCTGTATGAAATATAAAAATTTGAGGGTTTTTTCCTTTATCTGAATTTTTCTCTTTGCTATTGCATTATTATTTTACTGGGGGGGTTTTTATCACTATTATCAGACATCGTGCCAACTGGGTCAGTGGTTATGGGCCTTTCCTTTTTCGTATCACCATTATTTTTATTATGGGTTTTTCTTACTCCAACAGTCCAGTGTCTTATCTCTCCACCTGCCTTGGCTTCTTCAGAATTTTTATTCTCCAGATTTTACTGGATTTTCTAGTTGTCTCTGTTGTAAGACATAACCATTGATGTTTGCTCCTTTATTGTTGTATTAACTCATTCATTGACCCCAGAATTTTTTTCCCGCGGTTTGACAGAATATATTTTTTTCTACAACTCCCCTCGACTGACACTCTACTACTTTTACAATATGAGCTTCACCTCAAGGCCAACCTAAGAGAGACTAGCTTCCTTAAGAGAGATTTTGTACAATATATTATTTTACATTCGTTGCCATGTAGACGAGAAACTGGCGTAAGCCTGTGTGCATGACCCTAGATGCTGTGAGTGGTTACTCGTCGTTTTGGTAAGAAGTTTCGGCCACTGGGAGCTGTCACTCTGGTTTAATGAGTTAAAGGAATTATTGTTTAATCAGATAGAGTGTTAAAGTATTCCGTTCTTGAAAACTTGTTTTAAGAAATGTGAAAGTTACTGCTGGTCACTTTCTTACTTATTTTATCACCTACAGAGGAAGGTGCAATTGCATTTAGAGTTTTGATGTTGTATTGTTGCATGCATGTATTGCATGGTTGTTGAGCTTTGTTGGGGGAGGGGGAGGGGAGGGTTATTTATTAAGACTTTTTGTCAGGAACAAACAGTACAAGTGAATTGTTTTCCTCCCACTTTGCTCACTATTTCTGTGTTGCCCTAGATGCCAATGTTTTATTTGCATGTGGTTGTTGCATTTTTCTCTGTCCTTTTGATTTTTGCTGTACTGACAGTTGTCGTCCTTTCACCCATCTCCAAAGGGACAATTATTTTGTCATTTGCTGAGTTTCCAGCAGTGCTTTGACTTGTGACAATTGTTTTCGTATGGAGACTGCAATAAACCAGTCGAGTGTAGTTGCTCTCTGAATCATTTTGTGTAATGTTGCCGATTCGTTTCTGAACAATTTTTATTTCGAAGATAAGGTTAAAAGTTTTGATGTGGACAAAAATGAAATGTTGATGTTGAAAGCTCTGGAGACTGTAAATGTTGTGTAGTGACCCTGGCATGAATTCTTTACGGTCAATTTTTTAAGATATTCTTTTTCCTGACATCGATTCAGTTTGCTTCCTTTCATTTTTTCAGAACCGGCTGAGAGAGGACGTAAGACTGCAAGGTTTTCTGAACAAGACAGGACCCGTTGGAAGGAGTAAGTATTGGAAACAGAGGAAGAAATCATTGTGAGGCATGCTGTCAAAATGAATCACTTATAGCAATTCATGATTGAAGATTTTGGCCCAAAAATGGACTCTGGTATCAAATTTGCAGATTCTTAATTGACGCCTTTTTTTCCAAGTAAACCATGTCTGTTATTACTTTATATCAATAAATTGTACAAACTCCACCTGTAAAATTTGACATACCTATATCCGTAGGGCTAATATCGGAGAAGTAACTCAATTTGTCAGCACGTCTCAAGATTTCTTAACACTAAACGTTGACAAAACTGTTTTATAAAAGCCCCAACACAAGATGTTTATACCGGACATTCCTGGAAAAGACTGAAATGTCCCGGGTACTTTCTACTTTGTCCCCTTTTCATTTCCCTGCTAGATCTCAGAGGTAGTTGACTTTTGGTTCTTCAACCTACAGTGCGACTAATGTTTTATTAATTTGACCATTATTCCTACATCATAGGGACCCTTGGCTTTAGACGGCCACATTTTGATTAAAAGGTGCTTTATGGGTTTTTTTATAACAATTAGAGTATTTTTAGTGTCTAGTGTAAATTTCTAAATTTGTTACACATCTTTTTATGCTACAAAAATGTTGTAAAATTCTTGCAGCAATCTCTAGTCGTATCGCTTTGTGTGTTGTGAGGGAGAGAAATATATGGGGTAACTAGCGGTTTGTGAAAACTTTACTCACTGGGACATATACATCATAGTTTTGTGTTTTTTCTTGTCTTTTATTTTCTTTCTTGGTTCCTCTCGTTTAAATGCTGAGTTAAAAAAGTGTAATAAATTTGTTGTTCTCATCCACAGCGTTTGAGAGGCGATGGTGTGTTCTAGAACATGGGGCTCTTACTTACTACCTCAATGAAAAGGTAACTGATGACCTTTTGATGTTCCATACTCTCATGACCTCACAGCTGATTCCCATCTGTGTATTTGGAGTGTTTTCATTGGTTATTCATTGGTTGTTCTTTTGCTTAGGAAAACAACTGAAGGAAAAGTGGAAGTATGTTGTCTTTTATTGAGGAAAAGATGAAAGTAGGGATAAAAGAAGGTAATGATGTTGTTGTGCAGAATAAAGTACTTCCTTGAAAGGGTTGTTTTGTTTTTACTTGTAGGAATTTTCTGTTATCATAATTTTCTTGATATATTTTTTTAATGTTGTGTTCATATATTGTGAATTTTGTCAACGTTGCTCATAGCTATTGCGGATGTTCACAGTCTGACATGGGGGATACAATTGTTTGCCCTCATTATAATTGTTTGGGTTTTTTTCCCTTCTATTTGTTATTTTTTGAGTATTTGAATATTCAAGACACTTTATGCAAATGTTCTAACTTGGTTTACATTTATTTCAGAGTGTTACGTCAAAGGGGTCAGTAGACAGAAAAGATATGTACATGATACAAGAGGTTATTACAGACAGGTATGTGGCACTAGAAGGTCTCGTTTGTCCCACTCTGCCTTTCTCAAAGCCTTCCAGATTTACATCTTTCTGAAGTTATAGAGTGTGGACCATAGTGGATGGTTGCAAACTTTACCAAAAAGGAAGAAGTTCAGGGTTCAATTCTGATAAATATTGAAATCTGTTTAATTTACCTGAATTCTTGCTTTTTTTTAAAAATCTCTTCCCAATGCACTAATACTAGTTTACTGCTCTTCCTTCAAAACTACCTAAATAGCCTCATTAAGACCTCAATGAAAAAGAAAAGTTGATTAATTTATTAAATGTTTATGTCAATATCACTGCTTTGGAACAATTAACTTTTTTCACTTTTCTCATCCTTCCCTTGAATCAGTACTCATCACTCTTCCCCACAAAATAGGAACAGAAAATAGCATTTGTATAGCACATATTATCATAGCTTGACAGCAAGCTCTCTGCGCTTTACACTGTATTATTACCACAGTAGATCCTAGAACACACTGTTGACATCCACCCCTTGGCGCTCGTATGACCTTATGCAGTTGCAATCACCGTAAAACCTTACTAAGGGGGCTCTCGTGGCCTTGAGGTTAAACTGTTCGCCTCTCATTCAAAGGTTCCAGGTTCGAATCCGGGTAGCGGCGGAAAAATTTTCTCCTGTATAATGGTCTCCTTTCATCTCCTTTACTGCTCTCTTGCAATATTTTGTCGTCTGCTTTCGTGTTTACTTTCTGCCCCGACCCCCTAACCTCTTTTGCCCCTCCTGTGGGCTTCTGATTCTTTCTGCAGCCGTTCTACTGCTACTCCTTGGCTCTTTCTTACTGCTGTCTTTCAGCCACACCTCTGATCTTCTTGTAAGACAGATCTACACCTAGCCTTCTCGGACAAGGCCGAAAAATCTCGGAGGTCCTGTGTGCAAGTTGCGCACGTTAAAGATCTCTTGGTTATCTAAAATCGATAAAAGTAGGCTTCGGCCACCACCCGGGCAAAATTCAAAATTTCCTACCAACTGAAAAATGTTAGGTTTGTCCCACGCGCTCATATGACTTTATGCAGTTGCGAGCGCTGTAAAATACTTACTAAAAGAAAAAAAAAGAAAAAAATCTAACTAAAACTAAACTGACTCCTCTGTCCCTCAGAATCGGCTACCAGTTTGACCTGAGCACCAGCATCAGAGAGAACCGACTGTTCACCTTCTCCTCCGACTGCAAGGACGACGCCGGAGAGTGGGTCCGCACCATCGCGAAGGTGAACCACCGACGAGTCTATTAATTTTGTTCCGGGGAAGCGTACAGTGAAAGCAACTGATTAAGCATTTTCTCTTTCAAAAACCAGTTATAAGGAAATAACTACCACCGTATTGATATTGTTTAGTTCAGACCAAGTCTTCACCAAAAATAAGAGTTGTAATGTTCAGGTGTAATGCTGTGGGTGGTTGGTGGGTGCCATGTTGGGGTTTGCTCCTTCTGTCCTTTCAAACATCTTTCTTCCATATCTCTCCTTCTTTTCTTGGTATGTTACTCTATCTAATAACACCTCTAATATTCCACATTGAATTACCTAATTGTGTGACAAGTGCCGTAAAACTTTTTACTGAAATTGAGAGTTTGCTTGCATATTGCTGTCTGAACAGTGAGGGACACAACACAACAAGCCAGTCCTAGGTGGAAAAAAGGATCATATACATGGTTGTGGTCTTTGCTAGAAAAATAGACATGCACATTTTAAAAGATCAGCTCTTCTATTGAATTTTAAAAACCCATAAAATCGTCGACCTCTGAGATAAATAGGAGAATGGGGAAAAATTAAGAAGTCGCAACCTCAGAATTATAAAGTTCTATCTGCTCTGTACCTAGTTTTAAGAGATTTGACCGCAAAGATTTTGAGTTTCACAACATATCAAGCTTTTTCTAATGCAATTGGAAATCATTTCTTTGAATATCTTGATAACTACTCCGAATAATCTTTCAAATTTGATAGGGCAGATAAAACATTTGGTATTTTACCTCATGGTCTTAGTAACTCTAACCGGCCAAAAATGTCTGATAGAACTTTGTAATTCTAGGGTAGTGAAGTGTGTGTGTGTGTGTATCTGTGTTGAGAAAAAAATAAAACATTTGTATATGTCTGTGTTGTGAAAGAACTAACAAACGTGTGTGTGTGTGTGTGTGTTATGTTATGTCTGTGTGGGAGAATAACTCTGTGGGTGGTTGGCAGGTGCTCTGGTTTGGTTTGCTTCTTCTTTCCTGTCAAACATCTATTGTCCTTATCTCCCCTTCTTCTTTTTTGTGTATGTTACTCTCTTGTAACACCTCTAATCTTTGGCACTTATATGACCTTATTGTGATGCAAGTGCAGTAAAACACTTACTAAAACTTTGTTAAAACATGTGTGTCTGTGTGTGTGTGCTGTGAAAGAACCAACAAGGTGTATATATGCCTGTGTTGTTCCCTCAGCTGATGGCCCCAGTGGCTGTGATGGAGCACGTTGGGATGATCGACATCAAGTTTGCCGGCTACGCTCACATGAAGGAGTCCCTGGTAGACGTAAGTCTATTTTCACAGACCGGAGTCAAAATCTGTAAACTGATATAGAAAGCATCATCACCATCTCTCCTGGTTTTATAGCAGAAATGTGTTTTCATAATATTATTATGACCAGTTCAAAACTGATTTGGAACATTGCACTTTTCGCTTCTGTAGATTTTTAATAAAAACTTACAACTGTCGTGTTTCTGGGCCATGATTTTATCTTTCAATCTTTTTTCTGCCGTCTGTTACGGATTTTGTTATTCCTATTTCTTTTCTGACTTCATTTTTTTTTTTTTTTCAAACCAATTGTAAGGATATGACTATCACCATGTTGATATTCTTTTGTTCAGACCAAGTCTTTTCATCTTGTCAAGTGTTTCTCTGCCATGTTGCATAATCAATTAGTCAGTTAATTGACGTCCTGCTTTAAGTTTGTTAATGTTATTTACCTTTTGAAGTAAAAAAAAGAGTCTTCATTCATCAATATTGACACTGTTTAATAGTTGTAAAGTGCATAGAGCGTGCTGTAGAGTGTGGATATGCTCTATATAAATGCAATCATTATTAGTTATTGTTATATGACTGAAAATAGATTTATCTGTCTTTCATCACTGATTAAAAAGTATCTTTCTCGTTTGTCTCTCCTTGCACGACAACCGACAACTTCCAGGAGTGGCACGAGTCATTCTTGGTGTTCAGTTGGAGAGGGCTCAACTTCATGAACACAGACCTCAAGTTCGATTACCTCGATCTACGCAAAGCCAGCAGCATCAGTGAGTAATAATAATAATAATGTAAATCATTTCTATAGTACCCACTCCCGTGTGAACACAGCTCTAGACGCTTTACATAAATGCATGTACGAACAATATTCACGCTCGCATACGCGCAAGCACACACACACTCAAACGCACACACCCAAACACAGACACACACACACACTCACACACACACACACATACACACACACACACACACACACACACACACACACACACACACACACACACACACACACACACACACACACACTTACGCAGGAGTGGTGATTGTTATTGTTGTCTTAGCCTCCATCTCGCCTGTGGGGGAATGGCGAGTTGGAATACTTTGTGCTATATAGAGGAGGGGGGGGGGAGGGGGAAATCTTGTCTGTGGGGGTTTGGGGAGTTGAAGCACAGTTTGTGCTTTATTGAGGGCTTTGTTAGTTTTATTTAGTCCAGATTGTCTTAAGATGGCCACCCTTGTGGAGGAGACAAGTGGCTGTCTTGTACAGGTGGTCTTATTACACAGTGTCATTTTAATGTAAAATATATACAAGGGAGGAAATGGGAAATAGCTGTTTGTACAGGTGATTGTTTTATACAGGTGGACGCTAGAGCAGGTTCAAATGTACATCCTTCGCCTTCTTCATTTTATAACTCTTTCTTTCATAGGTGTATTAAAAACAGCAAGAAAAATGTAGAAATTGACGATAATATAATTTCCAGAACATCCGTTTCGAATGTTTCAAGTGAGTTTGTTTTGTGAAGATTGGCAAGGGGCAGATGTAGGTTATTAGTTTGTCTGCCCATTCTAAAAATGACCTATTTAATCATGTTATCATTTTGCATGAACAGCAGTGTGCTAGTGACTCTGTATTGAATAAGTACGGTGTGATTTTGTAATGTACCTACTGTCAGTTTTTTCCTGCTTTATTTTTCTGATGTGTGTGAGGTTTTTCTCTGTCATCATGCAACTGATGTAAAATGTTCAGAGCTCCTACTTCTATGGAATACCGCTCTCTATAAATGCATTCTATTATCTATTAGCATTGATGTTATTATTATTATCATTATTATTATTATGTTATTTTTGTCTTTCAGAAATGCAAGACTCTAGCAACGGTTTTCAGAAAAAAGGCCCGTGCTTTGTCATTGGAACCACAAGAAGGTGAGTGAGACGGACACAAACAAAGCTGCTGCCCATTTGTTCATTAACTCTTCTAGAGACAGAAAAAAATGAAGTGAGAGAAGCCTGAGCTCTTGTAAAAAACACATCCCATTATCACTTTATTGTTTGCTTAGGGCAAACTTTTAGATACATAGATACATGTAACATCGGACCGAAAGAAGACTTTCACAATCTTTGAAATCTCCTGAAGAAGAGTGTAAAGTTGTCCGTCATGCCAACTATACATCCCTTCCTTTTAACCAGTGTTTTTTTATTTTTACTGGGTTTCCAGGAAAGGTTGAACGATTCGTATTGTCACAACACGATGAAATTGGGCACTCATCTTTTTTTGGGCGTAGAGAGTTATTGTATAATCTTAAAGCTTGTTCATCTTTCTTGCTTTTGATGAATGGAATCTATCCTTCCATCCCCAGGTCCTTGTACATCCAGGCTCCACTAACCAGAGACACAGAGAAGATGTTTGTTGCCCTGCGTGATGGAGTCACTGTGAGTGGTTTGTGGTCAACTGTCAGTTAGAAAGTTTCAGTCAATTTTACTGTTTGTCAGAAAATTTTAGTCAATTTTACTGTCTGTTTGTCAGAAGGTTCAAGCTTTGGTTTGTTGCAGTCAGCTATTATGTTACAAGTGCCGTAAAACTCTGACTAAAACTTTTTAAAAACTAAAAGCACCTTACTTTTTCCCTGCTCTAAACCACTAATGTTTTGATTGCTTCTCTTCCTTTACTCAAACAAATCGTTATCTCAGAATTACAAAGTTGTATGTGATATTTTTGGCCATTTTGAATTACTAAGACCACGAGATCAGAAACCAATTGTTCTATCTGCTCTATCAAAATCGTATGATTATTGCGAGTCTTTATCAAGATATTCAAAGAATTGTATTCGACAAAGATCTTTTATGTAAAATTTCTCAAAACTAGGTACTCAGCAGATAGAACTTTGTATTTCTGAGGAAGCGAAGCGTTATTGTTTTATCCCTGGCCTCTTGCTCTAAGTCTCCTCCTTTTCTCAAACAAACGCCTTTATTTTATCCCTCTATTGTTGTATAACTGACCTCATGCTGTAAGTCTCCTCTATTGTTTCATCCGTCACCTCAATCTCTAAGTCTCCTCCTGGGTTCCCTCACTTCATGCTGTAAGGGTGGTTGACGGGTGCTCTGGTGTGGTTTGCTTCTTCTTTCAAACATCTATCGTCCTTATCTCGCCTTTTTCCTTTTTATGTTTGTTACTCTCTTGTAACACCTCTAGTCTTCTGGCACTCATATGACCTTATGCAGTTGCGAGCGCCGTAAAACCTCTACTAAAACTAACAAATCTCTAAGTCTCCTCCTTGGTTCCCTCACCTCAATCTCTAAGTCTCCTCCTGTGTTCCCTCACCTCAATCTCTAAGTCTCCTCTTGTGTCTGAGTCTCCTCTTGTGTTCCCTCACCTCAATCTCGGAGTCTCCTCCTGTGTTCCCTCACCTCAGTCTCTCTAAGTCTCCTCCTGTGTTCCCTCACCTCAATCTCTAAGTCTCCTCCTTGGTTCCCTCACCTCAATCTCTAATTCTCCTCCTGTGTTCCCTCACCTCAATCTCTCTAAGTCTCCTCCTGTGTTCCCTCACCTCAATCTCTGAGTCTCCTCCTGTGTTCCCTCACCTCAATCTCTAAGTCTCCTCCTGTGTTCCCTCACCTTAATCTCTGAGTCTCCTCCTGTGTTCCCTCACCTCAATCTCTAAGTTTCCTCCTGTGTTCCCTCACCTCAATCTCTAAGTCTCCTCTTGTGTCTGAGTCTCCTCTTGTGTTCCCTCACCTCAATCTCGGAGTCTCCTCCTGTGTTCCCTCACTTCAGTCTCTCTTAGTCTCCTCCTGTGTTCCCTCACCTCAATCTCTCTAAGTCTCCTCCTGTGTTCCCTCACCTCAATCTCTAAGTCTCCTCCTTGGTTCCATCACCTCAATCTCTAAGTCTCCTCCTGTGTTCCCTTACCTCAATCTCTCTAAGTCTCCTCCTGTGTTCCTTCACCTCAATCTCTAAGTCTCCTCCTATGTTCCCTCACCTCAATCTCTCTAAGTCTCCTTCTGCGTTCCCTCACCTCAATCTCTAAGTCTCCTCCTGTGTTCCCTCACCTCAATCTCTAAGTCTCCTCCTTAGTTCCCTCATCTCAATCTCTAAGTCTCCTCCTGTGTTCCCTCACCTCAATCTCTAAGTCTCCTCCTTAGTTCCCTCATCTCAATCTCTAAGTCTCCTCCTGTGTTCCCTCACCTCAATCTCTAAGTCTCCTCCTGTGTTCCCTCACCTCAATCTCTAAGTCTCCTCCTGTGTTCCCTCACCTCAATCTCTAAGTCTCCTCCTGGGTTCCCTCACTTCAATCTCTGAGTCTCCTCCTGGGTTCCCTCACCTCAATCTCTAAGTCTCCTCCTGGGTTCCCTCACCTCAATCTCTCTAAGTCTCCTCCTGGGTTCCCTCACCTCAATCTCTAAGTCTCCTCCTGTGTTCCCTCACCTCAATCTCTAAGTCTCCTCCTGTGTTCCCTCACCTCAATCTCTAAGTCTCCTCCTGTGTTCCCTCACCTCAATCTCTAAGTCTCCTCCATGTGTTCCCTCACCTCAATCTCTAAGTCTCCTCCTGTGTTCCCTCACCTCAATCTCTAAGTCTCCTCCATGTGTTCCCTCACCTCAATCTCTAAGTCTCCTCCTGTGTTCCCTCACCTCAATCTCTAAGTCTCCTCCTGTGTTCCCTCACCTCAATCTCTAAGTCTCCTCCTTGGTTTCCTCAGGGCAGCGGCAGCACCCTCAACGACCAGGCTCTGACCCAGAACAACGTGCCGGTGATCGTGGACAAGTGCCTGACCCACATCTACATGATGGGGCTCGACGAGAAAGGAATCTACCGCAACAGCGCGCAGCAGACCAGGATACGGGCGCTGCTCGATCAGTTCAAGAAAGGTCCGTTTTGGGTTTTTTTCTTCTCTCACTGTAGGCGGAAAGATCGCTGAGAAAAATCTGGACTATTACGTACTTACTTACTTTTACTTTTACTTTTTCTTTTTCATCCTCTGTTGCCGTTAAGCGTCGAGGGGAGATGCAGTTTTCTATGGTAGGCCAGCTCTGCAGCTCTTTCAGCTGTGATGTTATTATGTTTGTAATAATAAGTAGTAGTTGACATCTGAGGGGGAAAGACTTCTGAGAGGAATCTGGTTTATTAGGGAGTGTTATAATACTTCTTTCTTCTGTTAGTTTCCGTAGCAATAAATAATCCACTACCGACTTGCTTGGCCTGTCACAGTTTCACCAGAGCCTCTTTAGCCTGCAACTTTTCTGGGTGACCCGGGTTCTCCTTCACGGCTAGCGTGACGCCTCAGTGGCATAAAGCCAAACCGTACTTCGTTGAACCCAGCAGTCCCCCTGCTCTCCGGCTGATGGCAGAGAGACGGCTCTTTCTTCCTGCGACACCCAAAAGAGTATGAGCAGAGGATAAAAGTAAAGTTTTAATACTTTTACTTTTTACTTTTACTTTTTCCTCCTCTGTTGCTGCTAAGTGTTGAGGGGAGATGCAGTTTTCTATGGTAAGCCAGCTCTGCAGCTCTTTCAATAATTCATTATAAAAGTAGTAGTCGTAGTAGTAGTAGTAGATATAGTAGTAGTAGTGGTAGTAGTAGTAGTAGTAGTAATAGTAGTAGCAACAGTAGTAGTGGTAAATAGGTAATAGTAGTAGTAATAGTAGTAGAAGCAATAGAAGTAGTAGTGGTAGCAGAAGTAGTAGTAGCAGTTACTGTTGTAGCAGTAGTAGTAGCACTGGTTCACAAATCACAGTTTCCTCCCTCTTCCATTAGATGCGGGCTCAGTGACGCTGACAGACTACACAGTCCACGAGGTGGCCAACGGACTCAAGAGATTCCTGCGCGAACTGGACGACTCTGTGTTTGAACGCATCAACTACACGTCGTGGATCAACATGGCCGGTAAGGAAAGCGGATGATCGTAGCTGGGTCGTAATTAATCTTATTTAGTGTCAATGTGAGTGTAGAATGTTTATTGTAACAGTCTTGTCAACCTTTTTATGGCCAGCGCCCACTTTGACCACTTTTAGAAGGCTAAAATTTGGTCAGGTGTGTCACTTTTTGGATCATCATATTGTGCCCTTGTAAGAAAGATCTTCACCCCCAGTGGGTCGGGGGGATATAAATAGACCCACACCCCCAGTGGGTCGGGGGGATATAAATAGACCCACTGCTTCGTCTGCAGAAGGTGCAACCCCTTCAAAGGCGGAGTGTCGCACACGGACCCCAACCCTCTGGGATCCGTGTGCGACACTTACTTTGGTGTATCCTCCTCTTCTCCTTCCTTCTTTCTTTCTTCTTCTT